AAGAAGAAAGGTGATATTTGTTCTCTTAAAGCTTTTAACCTTCCACCTAATACTGTACTCAACACATTTCGAGCATGACAGAGATTTTGTGGTAAAGTGAAGTACTACTTATTTTCACAGAAGACATGATGCATATCGCAAATAATCCAGAAATGCCGCAGCATCCGCAACGAGCACAAGGGAAACAGAGCTCCAAATCGATGAAGAGCTGATCAAGACAAGAATCAGGGCAGATGCCCGTAGTTTGACACGGCACTTGAGAATCAGTCGGCTGAGCTCATACACAGCTGCCTACCTGGGGCAAACGGTAGAGATGAGCAGCAAATCGGCACTGACAACATAGTGCCGATGGAGAACAGTTATTACTTTTCTAACGGTGACACAGAATTTAGAATCAGTTCAGAGTTCCGTAGCCCATAATTCTTTTGTATGGAGCTGCACCATCGAACTCTAGCGATTGGCTGACGAAAAATTTGCACTGACCAAAGGAATTGTGGGCAACGTATGGCAGCAGCTGCAGCATACTGCTGAGCGCGATTCGGATTTTTGTCAAGCAACACATTACATGAAATGGCTGAAATGCTCATGTAATACGTAAGAGAAGTAACCGATAACGAGAACGAATTAAACAGTCGCAAGCACTGGGAAAATCACAATGAGATTGTAGTTCCCAATAAATGTGTATATATACTGAGGCAAATCCAGAACTAAACAGAAGAGGGCCCAGATGATTCGACGGCAGCAAAAGAAAAGCAGTCAAACAACCACAGTAAAAGTAGAGAGAAGCAGAGAGGGAGAGAGAGAGCTAAGGTAAAATGGACCAGAACTACTTCTGTTAAGGTAAGCACTGTTAACAAGTAGGCGCCAATCGCAGCAACACTAAAGAACAATTTTATATCGATTAAACGGATAGCACTGGGACTTCCTGAATTACGGAATTCCAAAAAAAGAGAAAACGGACACTAAAAAAATGTCACGCTACCTCAACAAGTACACAGACCACCCAAGACAAGCTCAGGAAAGATGCCTGTCAAACTTCAAAAAAAAGAAATAAATGGCCAACGCACGGGCTGCCCGTGCGAAGATGCGTTTTTTGCAGAGTTCCCCG